GGTTATCAATCTCAATTGATTTCATCAAGGAGTTAGAAAGATTAAATGCTACTATTAAATCGGTATAAGGTGTTGTTCTATATTTGATTAATAGTAAGGGTTATTAATGAACGGTCGTTGTTAATAACTACCCTCGATGAAGTGGATATACTCCCCGATTGAGTATTCGAGAGGGAATAAGTTATAGATATGACAATGATCGACTAAAATATATCAACAAGTGGAAAGTAGCAATGCCAAGTCCTTTTTATCTTTGAATTAAACACATATAGGTTGTTCATCTTAGTTCTTAATTAAATTAAATCACTCAATCCAAATCCCCCCTTTTTATTTACTAAGTATCATAAAAAGAGAATTATTCCTTTCCCTGTGGATACGAACTCTACTACGCTATACTACGTATAAGTGTTGTATTGAATTTATTTTGACGCACCGTGACAAAGTGCTCGTCAAATTTGGCGCCGTTGCCGGGGAAAGGCAATTATTTTTCTTTCTATTTTATTTCAAAGAAAAAAAAAATTATATATAAAGATTTCTATTTTGGCTGAGCTTTGTTTGAGTATATGGTTAAACACCGATCTATAAACCAAATCACCTACCCAACAAAGCCCGAAACAGAACAAGCCTTCGAGAGGTTCAGGAATCTATTTCCGAATACTTCTTCGGAGGAATCATCAAGTGCTAGTTCTCATTCTAGCGAATCCGAAGAGTCCTTTCACATGGCTCTTGAAACAAGAACGTTAAGGGAGCTAACGGCTCCGAATCTAAATCAACAACCCTTATGTATCACTTTTCCAACTCTTGATACGGGGGTCACATTCGAGCTAAAATCTGGGCTCATTCATCTACTTCCCTCTTTCCATGGCTTACGAGGGAAAGATCCAAATAAACACTTGTCGGAGTTCCATATTGTGTGCACAAGCATGTGCCCCAATGGCGTGTCCGAGGAGCAAATCAAGCTGAGAGCCTTCCCATTCTCTCTCAAAGACACCGCCAAAGATTGGTTATTTTATCTTCCCTCGGGGAGCATCAACACATGGGCTCAAATGAAAAAGAGCTTCCTTGACAGGTACTATCCCGCTTCTATCTCTTCAAGTCTCAAGAAGCAAATCAGCAACATTGAGCAAGCAGAAAATGAGACCTTGTATGAATATTGGGAGCGCTTTAAAAAATTATGTGCTAGTTGCCTATATCATGGATATTCAGAACAAGATCTCATTCTCTACTTCTATGATGGACTTGTTGATCAAGATAGACGCATGGTGAATGCGGCATGCGGAGGGGGTATTGTCAACAAAACCCCTTCTCAAGCAAGAGACCTCATTTCGGAGTTGGCCGAAAACTCGAGACATTACAACGGAAGGTCATCATCGAGACGAGTCATGGCAGCGGAATCCAAATATTCGTTGGAAAGTCAAGTAGCCGGCTTGACTTCTTTGGTTAAAGATTTCCTTTTAAATCCAAAAACCCAAGAAGTCAAGGTCTGCGACATCTGTTCAACGCAAGGGCATCCCACAGATTCTTGCCCGACACTACAAGAAGAGAACTCCGAGCAAGTCAATGCTTTGGGGTTCCAAGGTCAAAGGAGGTACGATCCTCAAGGAAATACTTACTACCCGGGATGGAGGGATCATCCGAATTTAAGGTACGGAAATTCTCAAACAAATCCTCCCCCTCAACAATACAAACCCCAAGGCCAAACATCGAACTCGAGTATGTCCACCGAAGACATGATTCGAGCGCTGGCCGTTAATACGGGAACAATGCAGCAAAGCATGGGGCAATTCCAACAAACAATGATGCAATTCCAACATTAAACCAAGTAGAGCATTCAAAATTTGGAAACTCAAGTTAGCCAAATTTCAATGCAATCATGTTGAGGAACGGTAAAGAATTGCAACCACGGGAAGTTGAGGAGGAGAAGCAAAAGGTTGATCTTGAAGAAGGCTTCCAACAAGAAGAGGAGAAGCCAACGAAGACTAAATTCCCTCCACTGTCATCATATGAACCACTCCCTCCATTCCCTGAGGCATTGAAAGACACGAGGAAGCTGAAGAATGATCGGGACATCTACGAAACATTCGTCAATTCTGAGGTAAACATCCCACTCTTCAAACTGATCAAAAGTGTTCCCCGTTATGCAAAGTTCTTAAAGGAACTATTCACAATGAAAAAGAAAAATAAACTGGAAGGGAAACAAAAAGTTGAAGTGAGTGAACGTGTCTCGGCCATTTTTAAAAAGAAACTCCCTGAGAAATGTAGCGATCCACGCATGTTCACTATTCCTTGCAAAATAGGGGATACCTTATTTTCTAAGGCCTTGTTGGATTTAGGAGCGTCAATAAATGTCATTCCTTTTTCCTTATATAAATCCTTACAACTCGGCCCACTACATCAAACTGGTGTAGTGATTCAACAAGCGGATCGGTCTAATACTTACCCGAAGGGTGTAGTAGAAGATGTGCTAGTAGAAGTAGAAAATTTGATTTTCCCTGTTGATTTTTATGTTCTGGAAATGGGAGATGATAATCAAACTACATCCATCCTCTTGGGTAGGCCTTTTCTGAAAACCGCAAAAACAAAAATAGATGTGGCTAATGGTTCATTAACTTTAGAGTTTGATGATCAAAAGGTAGAATTCAACATTTTTGATTCTACGAAAAAACAAATTAAAGACCAATCTCTTTGTGCTCTAAATGTTTGTGAACCACAAACCCCGAATATTTTTGTTGAAAAAAAATATGAGAAAATCAAACTTTTTGAAAAAGAAGAATTATTCAAATTTTCAAAAAGAGAATGGATCCCACCTGGGATGGAAGTGATACCGGAAAAGAAATCCCGGCCTTACTGGAGAAGGCCGAAAAGGAAAAATGAAACAAGGGATGTTCACGATCCCACATAAAAATAATAAAATAAAATAAAAATAACGTCGTGCCGCGACATTAAATCAAGCGCTTCTTGGGAGGCAACCCAAGTTTTTATTTTTAATTTCATTTTTTTTCAGTTCGTGTGTTCTAATTTTTTTTCAAAAAAAAAAAAATGAGGCTGGGCTGAAACCCGGCCGGGTATCTCAAACAGCCCGGTCGGGTGTATTAATAAAAAAGGAACACCCGGGCACAAGGCCACCGGGTTGCTAACAAAAACAAAAAAAAAACATATGCCCGACCGGGGGCTTCCAAAACCCGACCGGGTCTGCACATAGTTTTGGCTCTGAACACACTGGAATGCATAGCCATTCGGGTATTTCTGAAACTCGGGCGGGTACGAATTTATTTTTTTTAAAAATCAGAAAGACCTGACCGGGTACCCTAAAGCACCCGACCGGGTACTCATTCCAGTAGCTACTGGATAACAAAACATCGCACAGCCCGACCGGGCGGGAGACTTCACCCGACCGGGTAAACGGGAATTCCACTTAACCAGGTCGGGCTCACCCCCTTCCCCTCCCACTTCTTCTTCTTCCTCCCCACGAAAAATTCCCCAAACCCCTCCATTTTTACACACCAAAACCTTCGATTCTACACCATTTCTCCACCAAATCCACTAAATAACACCATAATCTTCATCTCCTCAACCTTCTCAACACACCCATACCCATAAAATCCCATTTTCGTCCCCATTTGCAAAAATCCGAAACCCTAACCCCCAATACCCCAAAGTTCCGAATTTTCTACAAAAAATCCCAAGAAATCCCAATTTCTTCTCCTAATAATCATCCTCTCCACTCTCACAACCCCAAAATACCCAAGACCCACCAAAATCCCAAAGTTCCAAACCCCACCCTACCCAAGTCCGAAAATCACAAAAAAAAAATCCAAAAAAAAAAATTTGAACTTCAATGGCTCCAAGAAAGTCAAAAGCCGCTTCCTCAAGGGGAAATCAAGCTATCCCACCGGTAGCGGGCTATGAGAGCGTGGAGTTTGCTACGGAGGCTCAACGGAACCACTTCATCAACCAATCAAAAAGGGAGGTAAAGCAATCCCGTTTTATGTGCTTAACTACTTTAGCACTACTATGGATTGATACTGTGATGCGTGACATATTTGCAAGAATTGGAATATCTAGAATGTTTGAAATGCAATAAGTGACATATCCTCATTTGGTGTATGAATTTTTTAGCTCATTTGCGTATACAAAAGATGTGAATGATCATGCAAATGACATAATCACCTTTCGTTTACTAAATGAGGATCGTTCATTAACCAAACGAGAATTTGTTCAACATTTTGGTCTCCCATGGTTTGATGAAGCACGTACATATGATTCTCTTGTGGGGTATGAATTGTGGAGAAGAATGACCGGAAAGAATGTGGTTGATCTATCTAAACTGAGTGTGAATCGTGTGCAACATCCGGTCTTCCGACTATTCTTAAAATTTTGCTCAAATTGTTTCCTCGGAAGACCAAATAATCATCACACACGTATCTGGGATGTGTGTGTTCTAGCACAAGCTGTTTTGCCGGGTCCAAATCAAGTTGATGTTGCCACCATCTTATGGACTCATTTCAACAACGTGGCAACATCAACAGGACCAATTGCTATGGGGGGCCTCATCACACATCTAGCCACTTTATATGGTTTTATAGACCCCGGCCCCATCACCTCAAGACACCTTATTTGCACTGAATGGCTTTTACAAAAGACGTTAGACTTGGTCCCCTCGCACACAACACCAACTGGGGCACACATCTATAATTGGCGCATTCTCCCACGCACTTCCATCTACCTCCAGATACCCTCAACCGACGTCCCCTGGATATCATCAATCACAAAATCGGGGATGGTCATCACTATTGTCTTCCCGGGGCAATCCCGGATCATTATGAAGAACCCATCCATGATGAAGATGATGAAGAACCCCCAATCATACCCGAACAACCACAACCTCAAGCATTCCACTACACACCTTTCGAGCAACAAATGCTCGATAACATGGTCACGCTCAACCAGAGCATTGTGAGGATGGAGGAGCAGCGGCAAGCAGACTGGCGTAGGTATGAGGAAGACAGACGGAGATCTGAGGAGGATCAGCGTAGAACCTTTGGTCCGATATACTCATATATAGCACACCAGGGCTCCTTTTCCTCTATGACCACTCCACCTCCTGCACCATCATGGTATGACCCCTCTCAGTGGGATTTCTTTGGAGGATCGAGCTCCGGTGGTGGAGGCTACGATGGTGGTTATGGCGGGGATCACATGGATGAGGACGGACACCAAGGTGGAGGTCTAGGCGGACACTAGGGACAGTTTCAGATCCTAAGTGTGGGGGTGAAGAGATCTTCCCGGTATGTTCACATTCACACTCTTTATTCTTGTTATCTCAAAAAAAAAACGAAAGCTTGTTGAGTTGAAAACCCACAAAGGGCAGCTTAAGCAAAAATAAAGCAAAAATAAGAGTGAGTTTGTGAGATTTGAGAAAAATTAAAAAAAATGTGGGAAGCTGGGTTGAAAACCTCAAAGGGCACCTAGGCAAAATGAGAGAATGAGAGAAAGTTATTTCTTTTGATTTTGCAGGATCCTGAGGGCGATTACTATTGAGAGTTCGGATTGAAATTGAAGACCCATCTTTACTCTTTTTGTTTTGGAGATACTTTATGTATTTGTTATAAACACTTGTGGATGTTGGTGCTGCTACTCTTGTCATTTAGGACTTCTTGGATTTGATTTGATTTACTCGAGACGAGTAAAGGTTTAAGTGTGGGGGTGTTTGATGCACACTAATTAGTAGTGCATAATTACATGTTTTTATGTTTGATTTATGTTAATTGTTTGACGTTTTATTTAGTTTTTAAACATTTATGTGATTTCAGTTGTAATTGTATCTTAGTCTTTATTTGTCAGTTGTAAAGTTTAGTTAGGATTTGTGGTTTTGGAAAGGGAGACTTTGAAGTAAAGAAAAAGAAGATTTGGCTGCCCAGGAGCAAACACCCGACCGGGTATAATACTTGACCCGGTCGGGTAAGAAGTGAAAAACGAAAATGCAAAGAAAGTGCATGGCCCGGTCGGGCCCACTACCTCACCCAGTCGGGTGAGAAGTGACCGGGGACAACCCGGTGTGCAAAGATCACCCGAACGTGAAGAATATCCAATTTTTGCACTCACCCGGTCGGGTCCCCTACCCCACCCGGTCGGGTCTGACTTGACCCGGACACTTTAACATGCTGAAGATCGCCAGAACGTGGAGGATATTTGATTTTGACATGGACCCGGTCGGGTGAGTACTTGACCCGGTCGGGTACCCGGCCAAAGGTGTTGAAAAACACCTATAAATAGCACACTTTTTCTTCACAAAAATCATCCCTTCTTCCATACTCTTTAGCTCAGTTCAGAATAGCATTTCTTTATATTTTTCTAGTTATGTTTAGCCTCCAAATGAGGAGCTAAACTTCCATTCTTGGTGTTGCTCATTGAAGCTTGTTGATTATTAAAGTTGTGAGTTATTTTCTTAACTTCTTTCCTTGAATATTAATTAATAGTTCTTTCCTTAATATCATCTCTATATTAATGTTGGGGAGTGTAGCTAAGATGACAATTAGTTAACATCTCGACATTAGTTAGAATGGTATTTTCTTCCTCTATATTAATATTGAGGAGTGTTGCTAAGATGACAATTAGTTAACATCTTGATATTAATTATAGTAGGATTCATCTTCATTAATAATATTCTTCCTTGAATATTAATTAATTCCTACTCTTATTTCATATTAATATTTTGAACATTACTTAAAGGATCAACTAGTTTTGTTTCATATATTAATTATTACTAGAAACGATCAACGAACCGATGGTTAATCGTTGATGGTTTCACAAGTAAGTAACTTCGGTTTATTAATGCACGGTCGTGGTTAATAAACTTAAGAGGGATTAATTTTGTTGGTTAAATCTAAACCGCTTGTGTTGAGGTTATCAATCTCAATTGATTTCATCAAGGAGTTAGAAAGATTAAATGCTACTATTAAATCGGTATAAGGCGTTGTTCTATATTTGATTAATAGTAAGGGTTATTAATGAACGGTCGTTGTTAATAACTACCCTCGATGAAGTGGATATACTCCCCGATTGAGTATTCGAGAGGGAATAAGTTATAGATATGACAATGATCGACTAAAATATATCAACAAGTGGAAAGTAGCAATGCCAAGTCCTTTTTATCTTTGAATTAAACACATATAGGTTGTTCATCTTAGTTCTTAATTAAATTAAATCACTCAATCCAAATCCCCCCTTTTTATTTACTAAGTATCATAAAAAGAGAATTATTCCTTTCCCTGTGGATACGAACTCTACTACGCTATACTACGTATAAGTGTTGTATTGAATTTATTTTGACGCACCGTGACAAAGTGATCGTCAAGCTACACAAAAGTGATTATGCTGGAGGGGGCCTACCTTCCTTGTTTCATGTTGGGGGCGTTAGGTGTACTCTTTTTCCCTTTATTAGGATTTTTTCCCACTGGGTTTTTTCCTAGTAAAGGTTTTTAACGAGGCACCTCCCCATCATGGACAAGGGTGGTGGTCCCCGGCCGGAGAGGAAGGAATCAAAGACAGAAGAACGTTGCAGATACAGTTTGGATTACTCCCTTTCACCTCGAGTACTCTCAACTCAGGGAGTGGGGGACTCCTGATGGAATATATGGACTCCGACCCCCCGGTCTGCCGACTACTGGGCCTGGACAGCGGCCCACACACGTTTAGTGGATATCATTCATATTATTGTACAATATTCTTATTATTCAGATGTTCTAGATTAGTTGTTTGTACTATCAGTCCATTTATGTAACCGGGTCTGTCAGGCCCATATTAGAGGCCCAGACCCGGATTTTCCCTATATATACTCCTTTAGGAGGCTACATAACTCATACAATCAATATTCATTCTATACACTATTCATCTTCTTCATCATTTCTTCTCCACTCTTGTTCAAACTCTCACTAGTTATAGGATATGGGTATCAATTATCCAACAGTACACTTGCAAGTTTAGCCCGATCATGCCTCTAGAGGGTAGTTCATCACACATATGTTGTTGATGACCTTCCACTTTGTCCTTTCATCCTCCAATACTTGAAGTACTCTAGCTAACTGCCATGTCAGCTTACGTCGGACACTCACTACTGGTTTTTCTAATTTGGCGCAAGGAGTATGTGATCAAGAATACCGGCCCTCTCTTCAGTATGATGTTCAACCTACATTAAGGGGCAATGATCATTGTTGCGGCTTCGCTAGGTTGCAGCAGGCGGCGACGTGGTAGTTCCTAAAAGACTTGTTGAAATCTCACCACACCTAGAGAACCATAAATGTTGTGCTTCACTTTTGTTGGGGAGTCCATCATCCCCTTCCCAGTGAGACATTGCACATTCTTTATGAAGCACTGGAAAGAGCTAGACGATGAGCTTGAGAACCAGGAAACTCCGTTTTGTTTCAGGAACCGGGAAAGTTCATCAAGGATTTAGTGATCGACGTCGCCACGAGTGTTAACTACTTACGGGGTCAGTTCATTGGTAGAGAAAATAGTCATATTTAAACCACTTTATATTAGAATAAAACCTCAAGTGTTAATTTAGTATGAGAATCAAATCAAGATGCAGTGAGAATGATTGTTTTGCACCTAGTTTGAGAGTAACACATTTAAGGTATGTTTGTCACATATTTGAGCCCGTTTGGTAACATTGAGATCGGCTGAATCGGTTGATTCTGTTGAAATTTATGAAATTGTGGCTGAAGTGGTTGAATTGGTCGATTCTGCCGATTTATAAAAAAATTATATTTAAAATGTCTTTTATTATTAAAATAAATAAAATAATACGGAGTAGATGTAAAAATAGATAAAATGGTCCTCTAGAGTAACTTCAGCCAATACGGCCAGAAAAGTAACTCCAACATTACTTTTTCTTATTATTACACAATTCAGCGTGTGAAATCGAAAGTTATGTGTTTGATGAAAAGTTGACTGATAAGTTTGATAAGCTAAAAAACGTGGTTACCAAACAGGCTCTTTATCTCCTTACAAGCTGTGCAATAAAAAACTAATACAAAGTATAATATTATGAACCATAACGTAGTAATATGGACGGAGTATAAGATTATGAACCATTCATAATATTAAAAAAAAAATTAAGATGGAAGCCTTAATGTCCAATTGTCCATGATGTCAACTTCGTTTATAATCTCATAGTCGCTTAAGTGTGGAAATTTAACATAAGTTACTATGACTAAGTTGCTACTACAATCACTACATTTATGAGGTCACGTTTTTTTGTAAATCAACAATTATTTTTTGAAAGGAAATTAGCTATATTGATATCAGATAATCAAATTATAAAGTACATCAAATTCAACCCCAATACATATGTTCCTCTTAGATTCAAGATAACTGAAATGTTCACCCACTCTCTGATGAGACATAGAAAAGATCATCCGCAACTGAGCATATCGTTTCGCCAACCATGTGAGAGCTTTGCAACTTAATTCGGTCCTAAAAGCCTCAGTGTTTCTGATCGTGAACAAACTAAACATCACAGAAACACAAGCACACATAAACAAAAAAGTAGAGTAATTGTCTAATTGAAACAATATAACAACTGATGTGGATTTAAAGTAAAAAGGTTGCAGATAGCCGACCTCCATCTTGAATCACCAATTCCCAATTCCAAGCAGCCCGTTCATTCCGTAGCGGTGGCTCAGTAGGAGGGAAACCAACGATATATAACACCATAAATGATATGAAAAACGTGAGACTAGTTGACCAAACTTGATCGAAGGTTGAAGAAATACCATGAATACTTGAGATGTAGCATAAAACTAAGGGTCGTTCTACGGTGCCTTTGGAAATATGTAAGGTACCGTGCATCTCATTGTGTGAGCAAATGAAATTATGGCACATGGAAATCTAAAACATCCATTAATAAAATTACTTGGAATCCGAGGAAGACAAATGTACGTTACACTCCAAATCTCCTAAAACTAATTCATTCTCGACCCCTTCCTCAAAACCAGCCGTCAAAAAAGCGCAAAAAACCATAATTCCTTTGTTCGTTCCTCAAAATCAATATACTTGAAAGCAAAAAAATAGATGGCTTCCATCTGGCAACAATCTAACAACATTTAATTTAGCCATAGACTTTGTATATGTAATCCTCATTTATTCTTTAAATTTTCTCAATGTAAAATGAAGGAAGATGGAAATTCAAATTAAATGGGCAATACACCAAAAAGGGAAAACACTCCAGCTAAGAGGGCGTTGTGCGACATGAAACAAACTTGAATATTCAATCCACCTATCTGCCTTTCATTTATTGTTTGAATCAATGCATACTTCATCTTTCCCTCTTTAAATCCATCTCTTCTCTTCTTCACTTCCAATCGCCTCTCATTTCTCTGTAATAACACCCCCAGAAATCGCAGAACAGAAAAAATGGCCCAAGAAAAAACCCTGAAATACTGGAAACTCTGCTTCCAGTATCTGGCAAACAACTTTTTAACGCTGTTGTTAGTGGCTGTCATGTTAGCTGTGGGCTTAGAGGTGTCAAAGCTAGGCCCAGACGAAATCCAAAGATTTTGGAATGCCACAATGAAGGCCCAAATGGAGCCCACCAAAATCCTCTGTTCCGTCTTCTTCATCGTCTTCGTCTCCACTCTGTACTTCATGTCCAAGCCTCGGTCAATCTACCTCGTTGACTACGCCTGCTATAAACCGCCCATTGCTTGCCGGGTCCCATTCTCCACTTTCATGGAGCATTCCAGGTTGAATTTGAAGGAAAACCCGAAAAGCGTTGAGTTCCAAATGCGGATCCTGGAGCGCTCCGGCCTCGGGGAAGAAACCTGTTTACCGCCGGCGATTCACTACATCCCGCCGAAACCCACCATGGACGCTGCCAGGGGAGAAGCGGAGCTGGTGATATTCTCATCCATTGATTCTCTGATGCGTAAAACAGGGGTGAAGCCGAAAGACATCGATATATTGATCGTTAACTGCAGCCTGTTCTCTCCGACGCCGTCCCTATCCGCCATGGTCGTCAACAAGTACAAGATGAGGAGTAACATAAAAAGCTTCAATCTTTCCGGAATGGGTTGCAGCGCCGGCGTCATATCCGTCGATCTTGCCCGTGATCTACTCCAACTCCACCCGAATTCGAATGCTCTGATCGTGAGCACAGAGATCATCACCCCGAACTATTACAGAGGATCGGAAAGAGCGATGCTTTTGCCGAATTGCCTCTTCAGAATGGGCGGCGCCGCCATTCTCCTGTCCAACAAGACCCGCGATTCCCGGCGGGCGAAGTACCGGCTGGTGCACACCGTGAGGACCCACAAGGGCGGCGACGACAAGGCCTACGGCTGCGTCTACGAGCAGGAGGACGCAGAGGGGAAGGTGGGGATAAACCTGTCGAAAGACCTGATGGTGATCGCCGGCGAGGCGCTGAAGTCGAACATAACGACGATTGGGCCTCTGGTTCTGCCGGCGGCGGAGCAGCTCCTGTTCCTGTTCACCCTGATCGGGAGGAAGATGTTCAACCCGAAGTGGAAAGCCTACATCCCGGACTTCAAGCAGGCGTTCGAGCACTTCTGCATCCACGCCGGAGGAAGGGCGGTGATCGACGAGCTGCAGAGGCATCTGCAGCTCTCGGCCGAGCACGTGGAGGCGTCGAGAATGACGTTGCATCGGTTCGGGAATACGTCATCCTCTTCGCTCTGGTACGAGCTGAGTTACATAGAAGGGAAGGGGAGGATGAAGAAAGGAGACAGAGTGTGGCAAATTGCTTTCGGGAGTGGTTTTAAGTGTAACAGCGCGGTGTGGAAATGTCACCGGAGCATCGGAACGCCGGCGGAGGATGGGCCGTGGGCGGAATGCATTGATAGGTACCCCGTCCACATCCCAGAAGTCGTTAAACTCTGATCTCAGGGGCTGAAATTATTTCTGTTACTATTATAATTATAATTATAAATTATGATTATAATTACTTGGCCTAATTATTTATTATTTGCGTCCATGTTTTTCTTCTTTTGGGGTTAATTAAGCTGACGCATTTTGTATACATACAAGACTATAGATGATGACTGGAAAACATTTGCTTCTATAGGAGTATTGGTCAACAGCCTGTGTAACTCATTCTCAATTATTATTTCCCCCCTCTTATCTCAAAATAATACTCACTTTCATCTTATTAATCAGTTTCTTTTCTAGTTCAATCCCTATTTTATTCACTAATGAGGCATGATTAATGTAAACTTTTGGATTTGATTGATTTTTGGTGTTAACTGATTTTTTATTTTGTATGTAAAATATACTCCCTAAGTTTTAATTATCACCAAAATTAATTATACTAGCAGTGGAACGTCAATGGCATGGGGAAACCCTAGCCGCCGCCTCCTCTTTTTCTCTTCTTTTCTTATCTTCTTTCAATCTTCTTTGATTTCAATAATAGAAAAAGATCTTCTTAATCGGTGTTTTCAGTTTTATTCATCTGTTTCTTTCCCAACGTTGTTTGGAGGTATTATTTTCGGTAGCGAAATATCGTCTGCCAGATCCATATTCCCCACCACTTTCGGTCCGGCGTTCTTGTGTGCTAAGAAGAGATTTGCACTGATCTCTTCATCAATCAAAAACATGATTTTATTCTGCGCCGATATTGAGACGGATCGCCCCCCTCCTGAACCACCGTCGTTCTAGGAAGATGAGATCAGTTGGATTCCTTTCTTTTCGGTGGCTGGTGAAACCGGAACAAATTCTAAGTTGGCTCCTTACCGGTGGCTGGAGAAACCGGGACGTTTAAGAGTTCTTTTGATAATTATTGTGATCGTAGCAAGAGCAGTCAGTCTGCAGGTAGAGTCTACTTCTTTGCGAGATTAACGATTCGGCGTTTTCGATTAGAATCGTCCGTTTCTATGTCTCATCCCATTGTAGCATTGAGCTTTATGATTGTAATGTTTTTGTCATCTTCATTAATAATAATTAAGTTATTTCTTTTCCAAAGAAAAAAATAATTAAGAAGTATCAATGAAAAATTATAATCACTTATCACTTAAAGAAATTTTGCACATCACTTTCAAAAGAAGGTGGAAGTATTTAATACCCATTAGACCTCCATTCTCATTAGTTGGCTCAATTAGAATTCTGCTTAACTAAGTTAGCTTGTTTAAGTTTTTTAAATTAGAAACAATGACACAAATATTACCTAGAAGGTTTTAAAAGGCAAAAAAATGACCATTTTGAAACTTTACAAAAAAGTGACCCCTGTCTCCTCTCAATCGAGATTTACGCTAGCGAATTGGAGTTGCAAGGTCTCCATCGCAGGTCTCATCTCTCGTCCATCATCACCTCGCAGCTGTAGCCTGCCCCCTCTAGTGGCCGCCGTCCGCCTCCGCTGCTCAGCTCCTCAATTCGTCGCCGCCCTCCACCGGTCTTCGTCGCCCTCTGCCGGTCTTTGTCGCCGATACGCCAATCCAGAGTCCGCCATTAATGGTGTGGGGAGCTTTGCTTGGTCAACTGACTGGTTGGAGCTTCTTCTGGGATGAAATCCAAACTCCATCTATTTAAACATACCTTGAATTTCTCATTTGAGAAGAAGAATTTAAAATCTCAGCCAATGATTGATTGAACCAGAGATGATTACCACCATTAATGGCGGTTGGGAGCTTCCCTGTAACTACGAATGCGATCCAGGCTTCTTCTACAGGAGATTTTCGAGGCTGAAAAACTCGTATAACAAGGGTGATTAAATGTGTTCAACATCTTGATGTTGGTCCGTGAGCATACGCAACATTGTGGTATCGGCACGACAATTCCACTGCCAAAGCTCAGTCTTGAGATTGGCTACGATGGACTAGCTTAAAATATTGAGAAAAAAACTGAAATCTTATCAGTCAACTTGGGATGGAGCTGGAGTTGGGGAGGGGGCTAGCGGCTGGGGTGGGGCTAGGGGCTGTCCACGGTGGCGGTAATTGGGCGATGCGGGCGACGATGTCACCGTGGAGATGTCACCGTGGCATACATCGGTGTCACTGTGGTGGTGTCACTATGACAGTGTCACTGTGATCGGCGGCGGCAGTGACACGAGCGATGACGTCGGCAGTGACATGGCCATGGTGGTGGTGACAGTGACACAGGGGACGGCAGTGCAGTGACATCCGACAATGACATGAAAATGAAGCAGTGACATAAATATTAAGTTGTCACTTTATTTTAGTCACATTTTTGTCTAAATATAAAAATAGTTATATTTTTGGAAATTAGCCTTAATTTAGTAATATTAAGGGAATCACCCCTTTAAATTATCCACAAAATTCATCATTTCAGATTGAGTCCTCTGTGTTCAATGAAATATTTAGGGCAGTTTTAAAAATTCTAGAACTAAATTTAAGTTATTTTAGTCTTTGGATATATGAGTCGGGTATGTTTGGCACAACTAGCTGAAAAGATACTTTTGTGAGCTTTTTAATAACAGTTAGCTTTTAGCGACTGAAAAGATCTTAAATAGAAAAGGTGGTAGTTGTTTGGTAAAAAGCTGACTATTTGATTTAGTTCGGTTTGGTATACAAGCTATTAGGACTAATTAATACTAAAAGTCACGGGCTTTTTCAGATGCTACTCCCTGTAGCATCTCAAAAAAATCTTTTAATTTTTGAAAAACTCTTAAAAATTGTCATGCCAAACATATAACTAGAAACTTTTAGAGGCTTTAATTTTTGAACAGTACAAAAGCTAGAAAGTAGAGACTTATGTCTGCCAAACATAGCCGTACATATGGAGTATTTAACTAGAATTTTGTTGACAAAAGTGACTATAATTACTATAAATATATCATCATATATAGTTATTCCGGTATAAAACTGTACATAATCATATAAATGCTAAAGTTATTACTATTGTCAATTTGTATATAAAAACTACGGGTTTCCGACATCATTATTTTATTAATATTTTATTTAATATTTTAATTCATTCATTTTAAAAAAATTGGGTCATTATAGTTGTTTTATCATCCATCAAATAATTTTATCATTACTCCATATATATATATATATATATATATATATATATATATATATATATATATATAGAGAGAGAGAGAGAGAGAGAGAGAGAGATTTTGGTTCATGTGAGAACTTAATCTTAGGAGAGGAAAAAAGAATATATCTTAGCCATTGGATTGGCCTCTAATTAAACGTCCGCCTAACCTATTAGAGGGGGTATTGAAGTCAATTCCAATTCCATTTATACGTTCTAAAACCGTATGCCTAAAATTAGGCTGCATGTTTCCTTCCAAAACCGTTTCTACACGATTCTTTCCATATTTTCATCTTGCGTCGTTCTTCCTTAGTTCTGCAAACACATTCATCTGATTTCATTCTGACAACGACGAATTAATTGATCGGATTTCGTTACTCTGTTATTCCTCCTGCGTCGTTCGTCTCTCCTGCGTCGTTGCTGCTTCTTCAGTTTGAACCTAAGGTATTCTTCGGTCTGCTGCTCCATACGTTGTGAATTTTCTCCTTTAGCGTAACGATTCCATGGAGTGCAGAAAGTATCTTTTCTTTGAATTTTCTCATTGTTTAAACTCTCCAAGTTTTACGTTATTGGATGAATACATGTGTAATTATTACCATTCTTGGATGAATCTATTTTGTAATGCATTATAAACTGTTTTTTATGCATACGTGTTTTGATAATGTAGTTTTACTGTTGTGCGTGTTAATAGGTCGTGTTTGTGAATTTCTGATTATTTTGCTTATGCACTTTAAATTTTATTATGATGCTCTTATATGCATTCTGATATTGCACTTTTATTCTATTCAATATCTTAAACATCATGCGCTTGTATTTTACCGTATCGTGGAATGTTATTTGAATTATTGTGCAAACTACTTTTTGCAATATAATTTTATTTATTTATTTATGATGCAGATGTTAGACATTGAAAATATGGAGTGAAGAACGCATATGATGAAGAGATGAGCTAATGGTGCACCATAGAAGTGAAAAACTGCATTGTATTGTTGTAAAAGAGCAGTAACCATAGATTTGTACAAGTGAATTTATGTATACATTAAGGACACACTTCTTAATTGTTAGTTTACAATACTATGCACTAGTCATAATCTAATTAGCACTTTTAGCAATACAAATGTATATGAAGTTATTTTTTTGAAAGGAAAATGCATATGAAGTTCTTATATTTAAATCTTTTCTTTACCATACATCATGAACTTTAAATAGATCAAATATGCACTTTCAATGTTTGAGGTGTGCATTTTAACAGAATAAAAAATTGTTATATAAAAAAAACTATGAGACCACATACTTAATTAAATCTATAATATGCATTCCAAATTCATTTTAGTGCATAATAAGTATATAAACACTACATGTATATTGATAAGATTTCAATATCACATTCTTCTTATAAAAATAAAGTGCACTTCTACATTGCAATTATTGCACATATTAATGTTTTCGTTTATGGAAAAAATGCACCTTTTTTAAAAAATAAAGTGCACTTCTAAATTATTGCACATTTTAATTACATTAAATGCACATTTGATTAAACGTAATATGTGTGAATATTTAAATAAATATTTGCAAAAAAAAAAAGCGAAAAAGAGTGCAACGATTCACAGTTAAATTGCAATCGATAAATCTTGCATTAGAAAAGAAAACTCACATGTGAGAGGACCTTAAATTTGGAAAGAAAATAAAATAAAATAAACTATTTATTAAAACAAATGGTGCTAATTATGAGGAAGATTACTCCGTATTAATTATTCTCCTAATTGTTAGGATTACTTCCTATTATGGTGGCTTGTGCGTGCTAACCACCTAAATGGGGTTCAGAATTATGCCCCTCAATTAATACATTGTTGCACGTTGCCTTTTTAGAAGCTAAATCCCTTCCGGAAATCATGGATAAACGTTTTCGGATTATATTACACTTGTTTTTGACCATATGATTGAAAAAATTAAAGGTAGAATTTTGTTCTTTTTTACTCTCCTAAGAGGGTGTCCTCACAGGAACTAAATATATATATATATATATACACACACACACACACACACACACATATTCTAGTTCACCACATTTTATTTATATATCTCCATTTTTCATTTTTAGTATTTTTATGTGTTTAGATGGATGTTTTATGTTTACAATTTATAGCACGAGTAGAC